GCCAGGATTTGAACCACAGCCAGCTTATGGGATCCAGCTCCCAATGCATAGCGTTTACTGTGCTATGGGACTGGCCATGAGCTGCATCATTAAATCATTTTAAAATTAGTGTTTTGTTTGAGACGGTCTAATATTATCTATGAGAGACACTGTTATGCAGTGGTTAAGGACCTCGGTCTTTATAACCAGACAGACTTGGATTTATGTTTTGGGTCTATCATTTACTACTTATGTGGCCTCAGGCAAGTGACTTAGCCACTCTAGGCCCAGTTTCCTCATCTGTAAAACAGGGGTAATCAGTACCTACCTCACTGAATTAATAACTGTTACTGTTATCATTAACTGTAATTCACAGTTTTCTTTGCAGGGATCTTAAATTACTTGTTCAAGTTGTATGATTAGTTAGTTGGACATAGATAAGGTTTGTGGATCTTTCTAACTGTGCCCAGATAACTTATAATAGATATTGTAATATTTTATAGCCTAAAACGGAACAAGCAAGTTTTCTGTTACTCTCAGTCTTGTGGACCTCCCACCCAGGCTCCTGCCAAGGTTTGCGTGACACAGGTTACTGTGACATGTATACAGCAAGGTACTTTGTCCTATCTGTATTTTAAATAGTCATCTCATCAAGCTTCTTTTTTCTTTTCTTTTTTTTTAATTTAATTTTTTTTGGGAAAGCGTGTGCTGGGAAAGACAGGCGTTTTCATAGGGTCTCAGCATGTGGCCATCCTCCTGCCGACCTCCCAGTTCACTAGGTGTGCAGGCTCGCTCTGCCGGCTACACACAGCGGGGCCAGCAGCGCCTCCCCCTTGCCACACTTTGTCCCATCTGTATTTTAAACAGTCATCTTGTCAGGCTTGGCCGTACCCAGCTCCTTTTCTTACTCGTTTTAGGTGAGAACATCTGATTGTGTTTGTCTTCACTTTCCTTAGTAGCTCATTTCTATTCCCCTTTGTTCATTAGAGAACTTTTTTCAAAAGGATTCAAAAACTGATGTAAAACCAAGTCTACTACATCACAATTTTTTTATTTTTATATTTTAGAGAGGCATTTTTTGCTATAGAGGGAGCGTGTGCTCACCAAAGAGACAGAGAGAAACAGAAAGCAAGGACCTCCCCCCCTTCCCTGGGATGACCACAGATATCAACTAGCTTCTAGCTTTTTCTTTCTCTCTCTCTCTCTCTCTTTTTTTTTTTTTTGCTCTAGGGTATGTGCACCTGCTGAGGAGAGAAAGTGAAAAATCACCCCCGGGTGATATGGCCACTTTACAATCCTCCTTTTGGGATTTTGAGCATGCACATACATGCACCTAGTGTTTTTGTTTGTTCGTTTGTTTTTAGAGTTTTTTGCTATAGGGCTCGTGTGCTTGCCAGAAAGAGAGGTAGAAAGCGAGAAATCACCCCCCAGGGGGGAATGGCCATGCCACAATCCCTTCTCCTCTGGGGATCTTGGGCACCCACGCACACGTGCCTGGCGTGAGTTTAAGCCACTGGATCTGGGACTCAAACCACAGTTGACTACATGGGAGTTCAGCGACATAGCCGTTAGGCTAATTGCTGGTCCCAGCTAGTGTGTTTTTCAAGCGGCTGCGTCCAGGATTCAAACATGCAGTCAGGCATGTGGAATCCAATTACCTTAACCTCAATGCCACATGCTGGCCCCACTACGAACACTACACATTTATTTTTACCCTGTTAACTTTCATTTGAACAACAATGATTGTTTTTATCATCCAATGTCATTTTATCATTGAATATTAAAATGTTTTATTGTGGGACCAGCAGATAATGTAATGGTTATGTCATTGGACTCCCTCGTGGCCGACTACAGTTCGATTCCCTGGACGCAGACCCAGCAGCTTGAAACTCAAGCCAGTCAAGTGTGCATGCATCCCCCATAGGGGAAATTGTAGCATGGCCATTGCCCCCAGGGGGTGATTTTTTGATTTCTGTCTTTCTGTGTCTCTCTGTTGAGCACATATGCCCTATAGCAAAAATCTCTCTCTAAAAATTTTTTTAATAATAATAAAGTTTTTATAGTAATGATATTTCTAACTCATTGTGCTTCATTTATATCTCATTGACTTTTCTTTATTTTTAGGTTTTTGCTGTAGGGAGTGTGTGCTTGGGCCAGAGAGAGACAGACAGAGGGAAAGTGAGAAATCACCCCCAGAGGATATGGTCATGCTGCAGTCTCTCTTCTCCATTCTTGTCTTGGGATTTTGGTATGCATGCATACATGTCTGGTGCTTTTCAAACTACCAGGTCTAGGACACAAACTGCAGTTGGTCATATGGGAGTCGACCACTATGCCACTTGCTGGTCCCCCTTCATTGAGTCTTCATAGTTAAGCCCAGTCATTTATTTTAGGTAATAATTATCACCATAGGAATGAGTACTGTTTGTTTTTTAAAGAATTATTTTATTTAATTATTTATTTTAATTTGACCAGAGATGGACAGAGTGAGAGCGAGAGAGAGAGAGAGAAAGTGAGAAAGCAAGCCACCAGGTCCAGGACTTGAACCGTGGTTGGCCATGTGGGAGTCCAGTGCCTTTAACTACCATGCCACCTGCCGGCCCTGAGTACTACTTTTTTTTTTAAGAGAATTATTTTATTTAACTTTATTTTAAAAATTTCATCAGAGAGGGACAGAGCAAGCAAACAAACAAGTGAGAGAGAGAGAGAAATGTGAGAAAGCAAGCTGCCAACTGCAGTTGGCCATGTTGGAGTCCAGCATCCTTAACCACCATGCCACCTGTCAGCCCCTGAGAACTTTTTAATTTTTATTAAGAATTATTTATTTATTTAATTCAATTTATTATTATATGTAACTTGACCAGAAAGAGACAGAGAGAGGGAGAGAAAGGGAAAGCAAGAAAGTAAGCCACCAGGTCTGGGACTTGAACTGTGGTTGGCCATGTGGGAGTCCAGTGCCTTAACCACTATGCCACCTGTTGGACCCTAAAGTACTATTTTTTTTAAGAGAGATTTTTGCTGTAAGGTGCATGTATTTTCTGGAGAGACAGAAAGTGAGAAATTACTCCCCAGGCAGATGGCCATGCCTCAGTCCCTTCACCACTCTCCTCTTGGGATCTTGGGCACACACATGCACGCGCCCTCATCGTGAGTTTTAAGCCGCTGGGTCTGGGACTTGAACCTGCAGTCGACTCTGTGGGAGTCAAGTGACGTAACCATTATGCCATCTGCTGGTCCCAGGAATGAATATTATTAATCTTTTTTTTAAATTATTTATTTTATTTATTTAATAGTAGTATTCAGTTTGACCAGAGAGAGAGAGAGAGAGAGAGAGAGAGAGAGAGCGAAAAACTGGTTCTGGGACTTGCACCGTGGTCAGCCATCTGGCAGTCCAGCATCTTAATGACCACTCCACCTGCCAGCCGCAAGTACTATCAACCTGTTCCTGTAACTATCTCTAGTAAGTCAGGCAGTCTATTTTCACATCTCTCCTTTTTTTTTTTTTTTTTTCTTCAAGAGAGATTTTTGCTATAGGGAACATGCCATACTTGCCAGAGAGAACAGACAGAAACAAAGAGACTGAAAGCAAGAAAGCACCTCCCATGGGGAATGGCCACACCACAATCCCTTCTCCTCCCTTCTCTTCTCAGGATTTTGGGCATACTTACACATATGCCCGGTGTGAGTTACGATCTGCCAGGTCCAGGACTCAAACCACAGTCAACTACATGGGAGTCCAGCTGTGTAACCGTTACACCGTCTGCTGATCTTCCCAATTAAAAAAAAATATTTAATTTTATTTATTATGATTATTATTTTAATTTGCTTTAGGGCATGTGTGCTCACCAGAGATAGACAGTGAGAGAGAGCGAGAGAGCAAGCAGGCTGTCAGGTCTGGGACTTGAACTGCAGTGCATGCCCAGAATCCCAAGAGAAGAATGGAGAAGGGATTGAGGTGTGGCCATTCCCCCTGGGGGTGATTTCTCACTTTCTCTCTCTGCCTGTCTTTGTGTCTCTGGCCAACACACATACCCTGTAGCAAAAAATCTCTCTCCCAAAAAAAGAGTGGACCTGTCTCCTGAGATTAAAGAATTCTTACACTCTAATAGGGGAGATAGCCTTACTTTTAGCCCTACTTTTGCAGTGTTTGAGGAAAGTCCTAAGAATTCTTTCTCTGAAATGTCCCTCTGGTCTTTTTATTCCCACTGTGGCTGGTGGATGTTTTGACTACCTAGGGTGCCACCATGCCCAGGCTTGTTCCCAGTTGAAATACCAGAGACTCACACCAGGCAGCCTGAGTGAGAGGCTGTGGGTGTGCAGTGGTCCCTGTGGCTCCCACACA